GGTGGACCCAGTGGGGAAATGACTGCGTGAATTTGACTCTAGGCACAGCCGCATGCGAAAGGTATCAACGGTCATACCAGCATATTCGATCTAAAATAGTTTTGTAAACTACATGTCAAGGAATAACTAATAAATAAGAATATCGCATATTAAAAATAAATATTACCACTAGTTAGGACATAGGAATAAGATAATACCTGATTTTTGTTAGCTCCAACGATAATTGCCCTAACTACATGCAAAGGTCCTTTAGGTTTAAAATCTGGATATGCTATCCAATCGCACAATTCCCGAGGGCTATCTAGGGTATGGGCCAGTGGACTGGTAGAAAAGTGCCACCTAATTGGACCAACAGCCCTGCAGAATGACTCCGCCTCGATCAAAATCTTATCCCATGGCGAAATCGAAAGAAATGTTTTTGATGTACCGGATCCATGCTGCAGCAATACGTGCCTCAATTGCACTATAGTGTCCTTAAGATCCTGAGAAAAGATAAATATATAAATAGCTACTAACCTTTACTAAGGTCCAAGCAAGAGCATCATGCTTTGAAAGAAGATTAACAATAATACATCTGGCCTGGAACCTTAGGCGTTTGGTAAGCAAATCACTCCTGTGAAAGGTCAAATAAATAAGGCGTACCTGGGATTTGTTGAAGAGTAATAGTTTCGAGTGCGAATAGCGGAAAAGAATTCAAAGGATTCTTGTAAATAAGACTTTTCTCCAGAAACAAGACTAAATACTTAAGAATAAACTGAATTACTAATAACGAAAATATAGTTGTCCTATTTTATGCGCAATATCACCTATGAGCCATCTTTCGAGCTTTAACTTTGAATCCAATATTTTTCTATGTGTTTGCTGAAATTTCCACAACTCAGAAAATACATCGAAGGCTTTGGCAAAATAAATATACAATTCCTTTCCTTCGTCATTTACGGTATTTCTATAAAGTTTATATAAATAAAAAAGTAAGGCATACTTCAAGAGTTCAAAACTTTCTTTAGATTTTCCCAGTAGGTAGCAGAATCTTTTAACAACTTCAAGATTACTATCCGGATGATGGTTCGCATGTTGGGCCCGTTGTACCGAATCAATCATTCCGAGGGTCGCAGCAGCGCTGAAGCAAGCGGCATTGCGCACACGAATACAAAGAACTATGAACAAACGATGAAATGTTAAAAGATACTACATATTTAAATTAAAAAAACTTGCTATTTTCGTTAAATTTTGCTGAAATTTTGTTTTTTTCTCTAAAAATTAACAAAAAAGAGAATATTATAAATTAGTATTTTGTCGATAAAGCTTAATTTTACTGAACATTCTTTAAAGAAACCCCTTATAGTTTACAATCTATATAAATTTTAATATAGAATTGTGCTTGTCATGAAATACATGAACAAATATCTGCTAGACCAATTGAATTCATCCTTCCTCCAAGAACTAGTTAGTAAGTCTTTAAAAAATAAAACTTATATATTCCATAAACCGAAGTTAATAATTGGTTGAGAATTATGTTTAGTCAAGCTAAATTTCTAGTTTCTTGTATTATGCCATCGTTCCCTTAATACTTGGCCTATCGTCGAGGCTCTAAATCCTATTATAGCATTTGAAAACACGTGGGTAGCATTGCAAGTTTTGAGCGTGTGGCTCAATCATAGGGGAAATATTAGCTAAATTACTGTTAAACGAACGTCCATTATGATTTATAAGTAGGTTTGAACCTACTGGATTGATTACGGTGATGATAAACAGTATGTTGGTGTATCTTTCAATTGGTTTTAAGAGGCCAGTGGAAGGCATTCTTAAGTTGGTCTCACTAGAAGCTGTATTTGGATTGCATTTGATCTGTGATTGTAGACTTATGTAAATATGGTCTCAGCGCACCGCAATACGATCTTAATAAATCCTCGGTGAGCATTCGTCCTTTATGTGAAGGATATC